CCAGTGTACTGGAGACACCCTCCAAGGAGTGCCCTGATTACCACCCAACCTGTTCAGATCCTGCTCAGCTGGGAGAAGCTAGTTGTGTCTTTGTCCACCTTCCCTCAGGGCAGATAGCTACGCATCTTTGGAGGGAGACTGTACAAAGCAAGTTAGCAATTCAGCTCATCATGGGGTAGCTTGGAAGGCCCAGCATCCAAGATGGAGTCTCAGGGGTCAGCCTCACTTATCAAATCCAAATTAAGAGGTGGAAGCAGGACTTTGCCCAGGGAGGATTTCCATGGGCCAAGGGAAGTACAATCCCTCCCTATAGCCAGGGCCCCATTTGGAGAAACTTAAAACTGCAGAATAACCAATTCTGCTTTATGATTGACTTCTTTGTTACATTCTGGGTGAGTGGCTGAGAGAACCTGAGCTTCCATTTTTAAACTTTGGAGCCACCCGCTATCAGTGGCCACTGGACAACTGAGCAAATCCTGTACTGTGTACCCATATGACATCTACAGAGCTCAGCAGAAAACCTTCAGGCTTTATGTGCATATGCACAGTTAGGCTGAGATAAATACAAGGCACGCTTCAGGCTTTATGTGTGCAACCACAATAGGTTAAGAAACATCTGCTCCTAACTTACTGTTTTCATAATAAATGTGTTTGGCCAAGGATTAGATGGTTTCTCTGTGGAAGCATGTGTCATTTCTAAGTGCTTTTCTTTTCTATCCTGTCATGTCTGTAATGGATGAAACTGTCTGCCTTTGAAATGTGGAACTGTTCTGCCTGTGTCAACTGTGTCTCACTTGCCATGGTGAGTGGCACCTTTACTGCACTGTGGATCAGGGTTCCTCAGACATGGTTGTCCCAGCCGCCTGCCTCCAACCCCCCCCCACAGGGGGAGCTCTCTCGGCAGTCCCTGCTGCAGAACTCCAGGAGGTTACCTCAGCTGGACACTGAGCCCTCAAACAGGGCCCAAGCAGTGTCACCATGGCCCCAGGGGTCATGACGGATGTTAGTATGGGAGCCATCCTCACCAGACACAGACCCAACCCAACTGGCTCCTGTACCTGAGGCCTCAGGAAGTCACTCTGGAAAGTGTGCAATACCACAGGAGGGCTCCCCTTGAGAGCACCCAGGTTTGCTAAGCCAGACTGTTAGCTCTCATGAGTTGGGAGCTGGAGCTGGTGGGCTCTACCCACATCCAGGAGATTGAACATCTGGACTCTCTGCTACAGTGAAGAGTCCTGGGAAAGAAGGTACTCCAGCTTCTTCCAGGGACCCCCGGCAGTTTCTAGAGACAGAACTCAGACCCTGGCTGTCTCCAGGGACCCAGTTACCAAACAGGACCATTCCAGAGACCTAGACAGAACCCTGAAGTGTGCTGTGGCTGCTCAGCTACCTTGAGAATCTCCTGGGAACCACTCTCCCTGCAGGTGCCTCTCTGAAGGCCTACGTAGCAGACCCCAAGGCTGGGCTGTATTCATACAGTTGAGAGCTGGGCCCATTTTCCAGCTCAGGTCTCACTTGCATTCAGGAATCACCACAGATTCAATGTGTACATGGTTGTGCAGTCATCAGCACAAACAGATCTGGGCATCCATACCCACTGCTCCTCACAAACTCCAAACTTCTCCTCTGTGATGCTGGATTACCACAATCAGTGCTCCTCTTGCTGCAAGATGACTGCTCTTGCTCCAACCATGACATCTGTTTGCAGTCTGAGAGGTCAGGAAATGTGCAAATAAGGGAGTGTCTCTCTTTACCTTATTGCCACACTTTGCTTCCTGGAATCTCAGTGTCAGGGCCCATTTCATGTCGGAGACAAGGTTGTGTGCTGCCCAGAGCCAGGTCTTGGGTGGCCAAGTCTCCTGTGTGATGTGGAGCTCTGGCCACAATGCAGTGGCTCACAGGAGCAAGTGGAATGGGATGAGGTGGGACTACCAAGTCCTACCCCTCACAAGGAAGCCAGGCTATTCTCCTCTCAGGACTCTGAGACCTGAGCTGCTCCCTCCTGGACTGCTATCTGGGTAGGAGGTGACTTGGAGGAGGCTGGGGACCCACCGTCTCTTCCCTGTGTCAGCTCCTGACATCAGAGTCCAGGAGCCATCTGTGTTCAGGATCCCTTTGGGGTCATAGGATCTTCTTCCTCCAAAGCTGGGGGCCCAGGGGCCTCTTGCTCAGAGTGAGACTGGGCTGTGCACCAGGGTTTGGGGTGCTAAAGGAGAGGGACATCCAAGGCCTGTGATATCATCTGGGAAAGGGGTACAGTGGCCCTGATGCAGAGCTCCTGGGCCAAGTCTCATTCACTACCAGTGACCCCTCATCTCTTGCTTCCAGTCCCCCTCCAGGAACTCCTGGGTGCTGACTGGAGTCAGTCAGGGCATGAGCCACAGTTGACCCTGTGCTTTGCAGAATCGACCCCTCCATGACTAGATTTGATGATACCACAAGACTCTTGTGACAAAAGGGAGAGAGGCAGCATTAAAATGAAGCAGTGCTGCTGACCTGTGGACAGGCTTGAAGCCACATAACAGAAATGTAACTGGACACCTCAGAAGGGGGCTGAGGAGAAGCTTTTTAAGATACAGTGGCTAAAATCTTTCAAATCTAATGCAAATTCAGAGCCCAAGGGATCCTGACCTGTATGATTGTGTTCAGGGCCTCAGAATCGGTTCAGGTTTCAAAATAGGGCAAGAAATTGTGATTCATAGAATGCCATACTGTTCCCTCAAAGAAGCACGAGACACAGCTACACTGCACAGCAGAGAGGAGTGATGAACTGAGTCGTGTGTGCTTCCCAGAGCTTCCTGTGCTGTGGGACCTGTCCAAACCACACCCCAGAAACAAGTGAGCTCCTGGACAGAAAGTAGGAGCTGAGAGCAGTGGAGGGAGGGAAAGGGTGGCACCACTGGCCACGGGCTCTATATTGGGTCACAGAATTTTCCTCAACAGCATTTAAGTTGTAATAAGAACAATAATAAGAAACACTGATGACCTATAAACTCTTGACCCTAGGAGAAGGTTCCAATGTCCCAGCAATGAAGCATGACCCCACCAGGGCAGGGAAGCCCTAGATGTCCAGGTTCGGGTGTCCTTTCCTGGTGACCCATCCCCATCAGACTCAGGGATGGAGCGTCCCTGTGCAGGACTCAGGCTGAGCTAGAGCCTCTCACATCCTCTGAGTCTTGGCCAGGTGTCTGCATCTCACAGTGGAAATTCTTCCTCACTGAGTGCTTTCGAAGAGCTGATCCCAAACCACCCCTGGGAAGTGAGGTGACTGCCATCTTCCTACTGTAAATTAGAAGGGTAGGATGGCACATGCCCTAGGCGGCCATGGGTAAATGTCACCCACATCTTACCTAGAAACCAGGGATGTCTTGTGTGCAGCACAGAAAGCAAGCCCAGTGTCACGTGAGGGGCTTAGGTCTGCAGCAGAGGGGGAAGAAGCAGGGACAGCCCAGCAGTGCCAACGAGGAGCCTGTGCAGGAGGTGCTGCCTATTCCTGAGATGGGGGAATTGGAATCGGCAGCAGAGGGGGAAACAACACAGGCCCAGCTTGGAAGTGAAGCCTCCCCCTGCATGAAGCCTGAGGTACCTCTCCCTCCTCCTCCTCCTAACTCACCCAGCTGTCAGTGCCCCCTGGCTTCTCCAGTCCACCCACTTTGGGGGAGGAGCAGCCATGGGCCCTTTCTTCCCCTCCACACTCACTGGTGAGCAGCAAATACCTACACCCCGAGTCTCCCTCTCCCCACCCCCTGCCCTGATTACCCTGCAGGCTCCACGAGAACCCAGGCCATTCTGTCTGTGCCACCACAGCGGCCTGTCCCTGCCCCACTCCAGGCTCTGCTCCCACACTGCTCATTGCTCCATCTTCTGAGGCCTCTGTTGCTCCCACTCTCACCAGCCAGAGCCGCTGCAAGGCTCCATCTTCCTCCAGCCACACAGTTTCTGTGATGTCAGCGCAGTGCAGCATCAGCAGATCTCCCCACCTGCCCCTTGAAAAGAAGGACAGACACAGGCACACAGACTCATAATCAGGCAGGCCATCTCTGAGTCACTGTCACACTTGTGCCTTTTCACCATGGCTCCCTGGGACAAGAGGAGCTGGAAAGCACCACCCTACCCTCCATATGTGTTGCAGGATGAGAAGTCTTCCAGTTGCACCTTGCTCCACTGCACGTGAGCAGTGGTTTGGGTCTGTGCAAGGTCCCAGGGGAAACCTACACTCCCACAGAGGACACCCCACGGGCTCCCTGCTGGGGCTCAGGCTCCTGCCCCAGGGTCACCACAGGTTTCCAGAGGTGCAGTCCTCCTGCCCGGCGTCCCCACTTGGTGGCGCTCTGCAGAAACCGGAAAAGTGTACATGTTTAGAGCTTTTCTGTCTCCTTAAAGATGAAACTCAATCATACAGGGGACCCCAGGAATGGAGCCATACATGCTGCATGAGACTCAGTTCTCCATGTTCCTCTTCATGGAGGAAGCTTTGACCCTGCACAGGTCATGCTCTGGGCTTAGCCTGTGTCCTCCTCAGAGCATCTCCAGAAGTGGGGGAGGATGACCATATCGAGCAGCACCATGCTGTGGAGTGGACAGGCTGCAGAAGGGAGAAGACCCATGGGAGGCTCTGAGAGGAAGGACCAGCCCAGGGCGTCATCCCCTAGAAGATGCAGCTAGGGATAGCTCCAGGTCTCTTTGCACTCAGTTCCTGGACTTGATGAGATGAGGACAGATGGGGAAGACAGAGGCAGGGTAAGACAAGATGTGGTCCCATCTGACATGTCTAGGCAATCTGTCCTCAGCCACCCAGGCTGGAAACAAGAGCCAGCATCCAGAGGTCAGCAGTTCCCCTTCCTCTGGGGCTGCTGATGTAACATAATCAGAAGCAGGACCACGCCTCTCTGTGGTCACACCCTGCTGATGAAAGTGATTTCCTCCATCCACACAGCTGTGGCCAGTGAAAGGAGATGTCATGGAAGTCAAATTCCTGGTCCTGCTCTGCCTGGGTGAGATGTGAAGAGGGCAGGGGATGCCTTGGTCTGGGAGGGAGCCCACCCAACAGCCAGGCCCTGGTCCATCAGGAGACCCAGGGCTCAGGAGGTTCAAGGGGGCAGAGGACCTGCTCAGGCTCCAGGGCAAACCTCTCACAAGGAACTGTCTTCCAGGGCTGAGTCTGGACCCCAGAATTCCAGTGCAGGCAGGTGAGTGTATCCCCAGCTGTCCTGGGCCCCTCCTCCTCCTCCTCTTGAGGACAATGAGCTACCCATGGGTAGTGAGGATGAAGCACAGCAGGTGTGGGCTGGTGCTGGGAGGTCTGGAGGGTCCTGGGGCTGAGAGCTGGGGTCTGAGGGGAAGAGAAGGGGCTGGGACCCAGCTGTGATTTCCCTGCAGGGACTCTGCCCAAACCCAGGCTCTGGGCTGAGCCAGGATCTGTGATAGCACGGGGGGAACCTGTGACCCTCTGGTGTGAGGGGACCCCGGAAGCCCAGCAGTACCATCTGTACAGAACAGGAAGCCCAGCATTCACAGATACACAGACCTCATCTGAGGCTAGGAACAAGACCAAGTTCTCCATCACTTCCATGACAGAATATGATGCAGGGCGATATCGCTGTTACTATCACAGCCCTGCTGGTTCATCAGAGCACAGTGATGCCCTGGAGCTGGTGGTGACAGGTGAGGGGACACTCAAGATTTCAGTCCCAGCCTCTGCCTTCTGGAAGTGGTCTGCTTTCACAGTGGTCCCCCTCTCACAGCCCAGCCTTGGGGATAGTGTGGGAAGTGTGAGTCTATTTCACATCTACCTCCTTTCCTCCTAGGATTCTACAACAAACCCAGCCTCTCAGCCCTTCCCAGCCCTGTGGTGATCTCAGGAGGGAATGTGACCCTCCAGTGTGGCTCATTGCAGAGATACAACAGGTTCTTTCTGATTAAGGATGGAGAAGACAAGCTCTCCTGGATGCTAGACTCACAACAAAGCCCCAGTGGACAGGTCCAGGCTCTGTTCCGTGTGGGCCCTGTGACCCCCAGGCAGAAGTGGACATTCAGATGCTATGGCTGTTACAGACGCACATTCCAAGTATGGTCACAATCCAGTGACGCCCTGGAACTCCGGGTCTCAGGTAAGAAAGTTCTTTCTTTGACTCAGTCATGTTTGGGTCCCTAATTGATTGACAGGGTCCTTACTGAACAGTATTCCTGGAAGTTTAAGTCATAAATAACATCTACAGAGCTGGAAACCTCAATATGACAGTCAGGGAGACCCACAGTACAGAACAGGAGGGCAGTGGTGTGGTAGGAATCAGCCCCTCAGCCTAGCTCTTCCTCCTCCTAGATTTGTCCCAGAAGCCCTCTCTCCTGACCCAGCAGAGCTCTGTGCTGGCCTCTACACACAAACTGACACTCCAGTTTCACTCTGACCTCAGCTAAACAGTTTTGCTCTATCCAAACAGAAAGCAGGGGACTTCCCCCAGTGCCCTGGCCAGCAGCCCCAGAATGGGCTCTGTCAGGCTGACTTCCCCTTGGGCCCTGGGAGCAGCTCCCATGGGGGCCGCTACAGTTGCTATGGAGGAGGAGTTACTCTGAGTGGTCAGCCCCCAGTGAACCCCTGGGCATCCTGATCACAGGTGAGGAGCCCAAGGCTCAGTCAGGGACATAGACTCTGCACAAGCACTGCTGGGGGAGCCCAGAAGGTGATGTTCAGGGTGAGCGTGGGTGTCAAGGAGGGAAAAGGATAGAGAGACAAGGGAGATGAGGAGTGGCAGAGTCAGAAGAAACAGAGACAAAGACACAAAGACGGAGGGTCCTCAGAGACAGCCCCGCTGAGGCCTCAGCTCAGAAAAAGGTGAGCTCGTCACCACCCTCCTTCTCTCTCCAGGGCAGCTCCCTGTCATACCCTCCCTCTCAGTGCAGCCGGGACCCACAGTGTCCTCAGGAGAGGATGTGACCCTGCTTTGTCAGTCATGGACCCTGATGGACACTTTCATTCTGTCTAAGGAGGGGGCAGCCGATCCCTGCACCCTTAGACATGGGAACTGAATCCCAGTTCCAAAATATTCAGTGAATCAATGAAGAAATTAAAAGAGAGCTTTAAAGACTTAATGAAACAAAGGTATACATCATATTAAAGTGAATCATGGTTAAACCCCTTACTATTAATCTATTATGGTCTATCTTCCACTTGGTATACATATTTGTACATGTTTACAGTTGTTGTGTATCACTGTTGGGTAAGTTTCTTTATTGTTATATACTAACCTTCTTCATGTCATTTTGACTTACTATTCCAGCTGTTCCTGCCGACTTATAATTTGTCTCTTCTTGAGATGTCTTTACTACTCCCTCAATTTCAGTCTGCATTCTCAAAAATATCTGGGTGTCTTGTAGGCAGTACACAGTTGGGCATTGTTATTGCTTTCTTTGGTGTTTACTTAAATCATTTTTTCACTACAAGACTTTTAATTTTTTAAAATAAGACTTCTATTTGAGGGATTTAATCCATTATTGTCCAAGAGTTTTGACAGATTAAGCTTATACTTCCTTTTTGTGAATTGTTTTACTGTTGCTTAGTCATTTTTTGTAATTTTCCTCCTGTCTTCTTTTTGCCCATGTTCTGGTGGGGTTCTATAAGTATTTGTTGAGATTTCTTTTTATTCACCTTGACTAAATAGATTCTTACCAATGTTGTTTTATTAATAAGGCACCTAAAATTTAAAAGTTTCACTTACCTATTTCATGATTTAGTCCAATAACATATACAAATTTTAACTAATTCTGAAAATTCTTCAACTTTAGTAATTTGTAAAAGATGTCTTGATTCCCTTTATTTTTTTGTCTTTGTGTGTGTGTGTGTGTGTGTGTGTGTGTGTGTGTGTCTTTTTGAGACAGGGTATCACCATGCATTTCAGGCTGGTGTTGAACTCACTTTGTGGCCCGGGCTGGCTTTGAACTTCTTGTGACCCTCCTGCCTTAGCCTCCCACGTGCTAGGATTACAGGAGTGCTCCACTACCCTTGGCTTGATTCTTTATATCACTGAAAAATACCCAAGTATATATAAGAAACCTTTCAGTTAAGGTAATGTGGATTTCTGTAAACTTACTGGGGCACTGTGTCCCCTTCAATGGATTTTCAATGTGTCTCTGATTTTATACTGATAAATTTTTATGTACATCAGGGAATGGAAGTTTTCATTTGTTTCCAAGTCACACACTACTTTTTCACTTCATGTAGGTATATATTGACTTACACCTCATTGTCTGAATATTCATAGCTGCACATGTGTACATACACACCTTGCATGAGGATATAAACTTGAAATGCATGCATACATTTGCAACAGCACAGGAAGGCTTTTCTGTGACCCATGTCACAGTCAGGAGAAGGGGAGTGGATTTGACACAGAATTCCCGGGAGACACTGGCTCAGGGGTCTGGAACTCCTGTCCATCCTTCGGCTTCATGCTCATTCCTAGCAACTGCACCAGCAAAGAACAAGTCAGATCGCACAGCTCTCGGCTGTGGAACTGGGCTACCAAGAGTAGGCACTGCCCTGGGAGGAGGCCCAGGAATGCAGAGTGGACCTTGGGCTTTCCTGACTCTGTGACCTCTTTGTCCACTCTTCTCAGGTCCACACCTCCAGGATCACACGGTGGAGAACCTGGTGCGCATGGGCGTGGCTGGCCTGGTCCTGGTGGGCCTTGGGATTCTGCTATGTGAGGCTTGGCATAGCCAGAGAAGCCTCGGAGATGGAGCCAGAAGGTGAACACGAGAAACAAAGGATGACGCATCTTCTGAGGGGCAGAAGCCTGGGTGTTAATCCAATGTTTCCGGGAGATTCTGGAAAGGTCCTGGGGTTATAAATTGGGGACTGTCAGCTGAAAGGAATAAACTCACCTATGGTTAGGAAAAATGGCTGGGAGGGGCTGTGAAAGACGCTTCTTCCAATCTTCTGTGACTCTTTCCCTCTTTCCTGGTGCTAAGACTCCCCAATTGTCCCTTCTTTTCTCACCCCCAACACAGGAGGGCCCAGCCCAAGGCCCAGTTTGTGACCATGCATTTTTGGCCTCATAGTCCAGGCCTCTTCTATGTAATTCATTTCATCTCCATCTGTGCATTCCTTGATATGTACTAGTGCATCTGTCTACACAGTTGTGAAAATAAATCTGGATTAACTAGGCAAAAAGTAGATCCCAGACTTCCAAATATAAGTGTAATATGCTGCTGCTGCACTCTCTGAAGACCTCGAGATACTTCATTCTTCATTGAAGCTACTTTGCAGTTTCACAAGAAATGTCATCTTTTGTAATCATTACCCCACTTAAAGTGTCAACTGGATTAAAGTATTAACTGGGTGTTGTACAGAGAACACCACATACCCAGCCTGGAAGTGAGGCCTTGCTCTGCATGAAGACTGGGGCACCTCTCCCACCTCCTCCTTCCTGAATCACCCAGCTGTCACTGTCCCCTGGCTTCTCCAGTCCATCCAGGCAGGGAGAGCAGCAGGCATGGGTCCTGTCTTCCCCTCCACGACCACTGGTGAACAGCAAACACCTGCACCCCAAGCCTCCTTCTCCCCATTCCCTGTCCTGAGCACCCTGTGAGCCCCAGTGAGGACCCAGGCCATCTTATTTGTGCCACCACAGTGGCCTCTCCCTGCCCCACTCCAGGCTCTGCTTCCCACACTGCTCATTGCTCCATCTTCTGAGGCCTCTGTTGTTTCCACTCTCTGGGAGGGACTCCACTCTCACCAGCCAGAGCTTCCAAAGGGCTTTGTCTTCCACAGTCACCACAGGTTTCCAGGGTTGCAGTCCACTGCCCGGCGTCCCCACCGGTGATGCTCTTCAGAAACCAGAAATGTGTTCATATTAAAACGTTTCTGTCTCCTTAAAGATGAAACTCATTCCGACATGGGACAACAACAGGCTGAGGCCGCACCCTGAGTGATTGAGTTCTCTGTGTTCCTCTTCACAGAGGAAGCTCTCACCCCGCCCTGGTCCTGTCCTGCCTGTGTCCCCTCCTGTCTGCAGATTTGCCCTGATCTGAAATTGCCCTCCATCTGATACTGTATCCTATCACCCCCTTGCTCCTTTTGTGCTCCTTCTGTTAAGCACCCATCATCTGACTTCAAAGGTCTGAGTCCCCGGAGCCCAGGACGATGGCAGGAGGACACAGTGGTAGTGACAGGAGGTCTGCAAGAGAAAGGACTTGTCTGCCCCAGCCTGTAAGCTTCTGTCAGAGATAGAGCCTTATAGAAACAAGAGCCAGACTCAGGACAGGCAGTTCCTCTTCTCATAAGGAACTGATTTGACAACCCTGTGATTGGGGGCACCTGACATGTCGTGCAGTAGCCACACCCTGTATGTGTGGCTTGCCAGGCACTGTGGTCTCCTTGAGCTACACAGCCAGATCAGGGGTTGGATACGACATGAACACAACTCTCATAGCCCTGCTCTGCCTGGGTGAGATGGGAAGAAGATAGGGGATGACTTGGTCTGGGAGGGACTCCATATACCACAGCCACGCACTAGTCTATCAGGACACACAGGTCTCAGGAGACTCAGGGGAGCAGAGGACCTGCTCAGGCTCCAGGGCAAAGCTCTCACAGGTAACTCTCTTCCAGGACTGAGTCTGGACCCCAGGACCCCAGTGCAGGCAGGTGAGTGTGTCCCTCCTGGATCCTCCTCCTCCTGGGGACAAGAGGCCACACCTGGGCAGAGGGGATGAAGCACAGCAAAGGTGGGCCAGTGCTGGAAGGTCTAGAGGGTCCTGGGGCTAAGAGTTGGGATTTGAGGGGAGGAAGAATGTTCTGGGACCCAGCTGTGATTTCCCTACAGGGATTCTGCCCAAACCCAGGCTCTGGGATGAGCCAGGATCTGTGATACTACGGGGGAAACCTGTGACCCAGCATTCACAGACACACAGAACTCACCTGAGCCCAGGAACAAGACCAAGTTCTCCATCGCTTCCATAACAGAATATGATGCAGGACAATATCACTGTTACTCTCACAGCCCTGCTGGCTCATCAGAACACAGTGATGCCCTGGAGCTGGTGGTGACAGGTGAGAGCACCCTCGGGATCCCAGCCCCAAGTTCTGCCTTCCGGAAGCGGTCTGCTCTCAGGGATGTCCCCCTCTGACAGCCCAGCCCTGGGGACAGTGTGGGAGGTGTGAGTCCATTTCACCCTGCTGCCTCCTTCTCTCCTAGGAGTCTACAGCAAACCCAGCCTCTCAGCCCTGCCCGGTCCTGTGGTGACCTCAGGAGGGAACATGACCCTCCAGTGTGGCTCACAGCAGAGATTTGACAGGTTCATTATGACCAATGAAAAAGAGAAGCCCTCCTGGACCCTGGACTCACAGCAAGGCTCCAGTGGGCAGGCCCAGCCCCTACTCCATGTGGGCCCTGTGACTCCCAACCACAGGTGGACGTTCAGATGCTATGGCTGCTATTGGAACAAACCCCAGGTGTGGTCGGAGCCCAGTGACCCCCTTGAGCTCCTGGTTTCAGGTGAGGGAGGCACTGCCTTTCCTTTGAGTGACTGAGGATCTGACCCAGTGCCAAGAAAGGCTATGGAGATGAGAGGAGCCAGGGACCCTGAGCTCAGTGACAGCATGGGAGGGTGGATGTGAGACCTAAGATAGAGGATCCAGGTAGACAGAGAAAGTGAGTGTCAAACGGGGGAAGGAGAGGAAACCTAAATGGCTCCTCATGGTTCCTCTGCTCTTTATGGGTCAGAACAAATGATCTCTGGTGGACCCTCACTGTGCACTGTGCAGAATCAACCTGACACAGTCTCCCCTGATTCCCTGCAAGGACCCTCCCCAAGCCCGCCTTCTGGGCGGAACCACACTCTGTGATCCCCTTGGGGGAGACTGTGACACTCTGGTGTCTGGGGACCCTGGAGGCTCAGGAGAACTATCTGGATAAAGATGGAAGCCCCGTGCTCTGGGATACACAGAACTCAGCAGAGTCCATGAAAAAGGCTAAATTCTCCATCCCATCCATGACAATAAACAATGCAGGGTGGTATCGCTATTACTACAGGAGTTCTGGTACCTGGTCACAGTCCAGTGAACTGTTGGAGCTGGTGGTGACAGGTGAAAGGACACTCAGGGTCCCAGCCCCAGGCTCTACCTTCAGGAAGATTCTGCTAAGGGTTGTATCCCTCTCACGGCCCACGCCTGGGGAGTGTGAGTCCATTTCACACGCTGCCTTCTTCTCTCCTGGGAATCTACAGCAAACCCAGCCTCTCAGCCCTGCCCAGCCCTCTGGTGACCCCAGGAGGGAACGTCATCCTCCACTGTGGCTCCCTGCAGCAATTTGATAGGTTCATTCTGACTAAGGATGGAGAACACGAGCTCCCCTTGGACTCACAACAGCATCCCCATGAGCAGATCCAGGCCCTGTTCTCTGTGGGCGCTGTGACCCCTGGTCATAGTTGGGCATTCACTTGCTATGGCCATTACAGGAACAAACCCCAGGTGTGGTCAGAGCCCAGTGAATCCTTGGAGCTCTAATCTCAGGTGAGAAAGTCCTGACTAATTCAACAGCTTTTGAATCACCAAACACACTGACAGAGCCTGAACTCAATGGTACCTGTACTGGCAGTGACCCAGGCAAGCTCCAGAACCAGAAATCCTGAGTGTGACAGACAAGGGGACCCACAGGGCAGGCTATATGGGCAGAGCATGGCAGGAACCAGCCCCTCAGCTCAGCTCCTCCTCTCTCTAGGGTTGTTCAAGAAGCCTTCCCTCCTGACCCAGAATGGTTCTTTCCTGACCCCTGGACATAACCTGACCCTCCATAACCGACCTCAGATATGACAGATTCGTTCTATCCAAGGAGGGGTCAGGTGACCTCTTCCAGAGCCTTCTCTGGCAGCCCCAGGCAGGGCTCTCTCAGGTGGACTTCATGCTGGGCAGTGGTAGCAGCTCCCATGGAGGTCCCTACAGATACTATGATAGGTACAACCTCTCCTGTGAGTGGTCAGCCCCCAGTGATCCCCTGGACATCCTGATCACAGGTAAGGACCCCAGGGCTCAGTCAGGGACCCAGACTCTGCACAGACCCTAGAGGGGAGCCCAGGAGGTGATGGCCAGGGTGAGGCTGGGGTGTCAGGGAGGGAGAGAGACACAGGGACAGGGGAAGACAGGAGGGGCAGAGTCAGAAGAAACAGAAACAGACAGAGAGCGAGGATCCTCAAAGACAGCCCTGCTGAGGACTGAGCTCAGCACAAGCTGGGGCAGCCCCTCACCACCTCCTTCTCTCCAGAACAGCTCCCTGCCACACCCTATCTCTCGGTGCAGCAAGGACCCACGGTGTCCTTAGGAAAGAACGTGACCCTGCTATGTCAGTCATGGATTCCGATGGATGCTTTCCTTCTGTCCAAGGAGGGGGTAGCCAATCCCCCACTGCATTTGAGATCTGAGTCCCTAGCTCAGCTGTCCCAGGCAGAATTCTCCATGGGAGCTGCGAGCTCAGCCCTCTGGGGGACCTACAGGTGCTATGGCGCTCGGGACTCAGCTCCATATCTGCTGTCACAGCCCCAGTGACACTGTGGAGCTCATGATCTCAGGTGACGCATCCTGGACCCCATCAATCTGGGTATGGGATCCTTTTGGCACTGCTCCAAGGATAGCCTGGCTGGGATCAGAGCTCAGCACCCTATGCCAGGTCATCCAGAGGGGGAAGCACCCCTCAGGGAGCAGGAGGGCACCTGGATCCTCTCAGACATGACCACAAAACTGGATGGGCAGAGGTTCTGGGTGGGCAGCAGGAGGAGTATAGGGAGGCCACAGGGTAAGTGAAAGAGAATGAGCCAGTACAGATTCCACAGGAGGAGCGCCAGGCCCTCACCCACCTTTTGTGCATTTCCAAGATCCTCTGGGGCCCCAATCCCCAGGATCAGCACCCAGCTTCACAGCAGGAGTTCCTGGGTCTGTCCCAGTGTCCTAGGTCCAGGCTACCTGGAGACTCTCAGTCCATCTCGTCCTGGTTCCAACCCTGGCTCTGCTGGTGTTCAGGAGTCTGAGGGTCAGACAGAGATGTAAACAAAGACACCAGGCTCACAGAGCTCAGAGTCTGGGCAGCAGCATGAGGGAGTTTAAGAGTGCAGGTGCTGGGGCCCAGCCTCAGTGAAGAGTACCCTTGAGGTTGGGAGCAGGTAACTCAGCCCTTCACCTCC